AAAATACCCAACAATAATACTAAACCCACCACCCCACCCCGACTACCTCAACTTGGCGTCGGCCAGCCCCTCTCTCTCTCTCTCAATGAGGAGAAGTGGTTGGTGGCGGCGAAGTGGAATCGGTGTTTGTCGAAATTGGAGTTGTTAACTCATTTTTAAGTGCCTTGATTTTGTTTATCAGTTTGTTACTTTGTTCTTCTTCTAGTTGTCTATGTCGTAAACTGGTATTAAAAATAAAGTTCTTTGAGTTTTCAAATCTCTACTCGCACTAAAAATAGTGGATCCCATCTATTTATCATTTTTAATTTTTTATACCTATAATATTCATTCTTTATCATTTATATTTCCCATCACGTTGTTCTCTACATCAGTAGTTAACTATGGTTGTGTGATAAGACACATGACACTCTATGAATGACTGACTGGCATAGTTTAGTACGTGTAGCAAAAATGCTCCCTTAATTAACTCGAATGTCCATAACAAGAAAACTTTTTTTTATATGAATGGAAGAACTTATATGGAAGCCTATAGCGCTGAAGTGTTTGTTCGAGTTAATAAAATAAAATTGTAAATATTCATGTCTACTTATATTAAATTTATAATCACAGAACGCCACATGATGGTGTATCCTATTTCAAGGCCAATACTTTTAAGGAAAAAAATGTTGAGTTTAAAATGAATAAAGGAAACTAAAAGAATTTTATTATTAGTAATCAATTAGAATATGACAAATGAATAGATGCATAATTTTTTTTCTTCCTATTAAACATTTTAAAGTGTTTTTGTATAGAACTTATGATCATCAAAAATCTTTTCTTTTTCTTCAATTTACTATTGCCTTTTATTTTCCGTTAAGGACAATACCAAAAAGAGAAAGAAAAAAAAGTCTTTATTTATTTATTTGTGATTCTTCAATTTGGGATAGCGAGATTTGAACGTCTAGTCGACCAATTGCATCTTTGTGATCGACCAAACGCTCACATCTCACAACTTTCCTCCATTCTAGAGAACCTATTTTAATTTGTTATGTTAAACCCCACCCCCAAATTATTGTAAATTTCACAATTTTCCCTAAAGGTTTATTAAATTTACAATTTAGTCCCTCACTTATTACCCAATCCGAATCCCCTATCCAGATTCTCCTCCTGCCCCTATCTGCCACATGGCCGCACCCCATCCCTTTTCCCTTCTTCTCTTTTTCCCCTCCCCCGAGTCAACTCTCATTTCTCTCTCTTTTAGCTCACTCTTTCTCTCTTTCTCTCTTTCTCTCTCTTTCTCTCGCACTCTCCCTCCCCGAGCTACCACACACCACCGTCGAACCCACCACCCGACAACGACAACGCCCCTAACTTCGTCGACTGGACCCTTTTTCTCCCTCATCTCTATGAAGCAAGGTGAGGCACAGAGAAAACCCAGCGACCCCCGAGACCTACTAAATCTCGACCATCTCCGGCCATTTCACGACGATCCAAAGGTACTAAACACTTCCCCTCACTTTGCACTTCATTTTGGTACCTAAACCGTAGCCTAAGTTCGAGTGTCGCCGTTGACTGGAGCATGGGAGGCTCCGGCCTCCTTCCTTGGCGAGAAACCAACCCAAGCCCTTAGGGCCGTGCAGATTTGGGCCTTCAGGCTATTGCATTTGAGCCCAATTCCCTTGAAACCCTTGAACCCAATGAACCCAGGCCATTTAGACCGCTTAGGACTCAAGCCTTAGGCCCGTTAACCGTTTAAACCCAACCCAAAATTCTTTTAGTTTATTTTTATTTTTATAAAAAACCCAAAACCTTTTTTAGTTTGGGCCAGGCCTTCAAGCCCAACCCTTGTGAAACCCCAAACCCTTTTTAGGACCCAGGCCCTTGGGGCCATATAGAA